CCCCCCCCCCCCCCCCCCCCCCGCTGCCACCAGAGACTACGGGGGCGTTTCTAGGTTTTGCGGGCGGGTCGAAACCGTCAAGTGCTTCGAGAACAACCCCCTGGTGCGGCAGCGGCTGACCAAGGAGGACGGCACCGGCAAGGTGGGGATCTTAGCCGCCGGCCGCTGCGTGTTTTATTGTTGGTTTCGACAATACAGTGTGGTCGTCCCGGAATAATGTCGGTCGAATGCATACTGCCGGTGAAGTCATCTGGCACAGATGGAATATTCAAGTTGTTCCATGTACAATGAACAATGCCGGTTGCCCGCTTTGATGCGGGCGAATTCGTCTGGCACAGATGGAACATTCAAGTTGTTTCGTACTCGGCATGATGCCAGTTGCTCGCTATCATGGCGGCGAAGTCGGCTGGTTCGCACCGCCATTATACCGGGGGACCAAAACGGTATGCAGTGGCAGCGCTGGTCCCGATATACCGCGGTCCCGAGTAGTTTTGAAGACATCCATGCAGTTGTAGCGCCCGCACTTAAAAAGAAGTTGGCAGTTTACGAAGAAATTGACAACAGCCTCGAAGATATTTGTCAATAAACAAAGAACTTGAACAACTTTTCCGTTTGTGAGCACGGTTAAGAACCGGTTTTGTTTTTTCTTAGGAGATATATATGCAATCAAAGAGAGTCTTTCCGTTCGAGATATTATATACCACGCAACAAGTCGAAGGGGATCTCTTTGCATCGCTTTACATCGGCGCGCACAGCACCAATTTTTGCCGGGTAGGAAGGATGTCCAATCCTTGACTCTCACACAGAAAGGATCCCCCCCCCCTGAGGCCCTGAAGCCCTACCCACCACCACCCTCCTGCGGTGCTTTGCCTTCAATTTTCAACTTTGTTGGCGTTTTTCGTTTTACTAGCAGATATACACTCAATCAAAGAATGAAATCAAATAATGAATACATACCCGTTCGAGATAGTACTGTCCCACAGCCGTCGAACCGGGATGTGTGTTTCGACGAGAGCCTTTGCTGTGAGTGGGAGAAAGTTGGTAATTTTCTTTGGCGACACAGCAGTGGTATTTGGTAAGGATCCTTTTATGCACAGCAAAAAAGAATCATTAGAAGCCAAACGAGAAAAATCCACCAAACTCCACTTCCATCACATTTAAAGCTATGAAGGAGAGCTTTTGGATGCCCTCCTACTCTCTTTTCATGAGGCACAGATAAGATGGCCAAGAGGTGCGGCGGGTTGAAAAATGGCTCGAAAAATGCGGCGGAATTAAGCAAAAACGTGTAACCGTTGTGGCCACTACCCTGCGGGCCCCGTGGGTCATCTACGCGGCGGGAGTATGTGCCTTGACCGGTTGCCCCGCCCTGCAGCGGGCACGCTCTCTATTCAAAGTGAAAAAAAGCGCGAAGTTGATTGTTCCATATACCCTTACTTACCAAGAGATCGATCTCACCCGCACAAATCTGGACCACCCGCACAGCAAACCCGTTCCTCCACCCTGTGCTGTATCTACAAGGCCCACGACGACTCCTGTGCGCATGAAGCACTGCGCGACGAGCGAAGCAAAGCTGGGACCCCGCACGTTGGAGAACAGAACAAACGGTCGTCGCGCCGGCCGGAGTAGCTCCGTAGGTGTTGACGTGGGATACCACGCCCCCAGGACCGATGTTGAAAAGGCTCGATTTCTCCGCCGCAGCGGTGACAGAGTGACGGCGATGAGAATGGCGGCGTTGGAACCCCGTCTCATCGAGGCAGAAATGCTGTTTGTGATGTGAGCGCTGACTAAAAGTTACGAAAAAATATAAGTGTCTTTCTTCCTCCTCCTCCTCCTCCTCCTCCTCCTCCTCCTCCTTCTCTCTTGACGGCGATGGTGATAGTGATGGTGATGATGACGAAACAGACCTACCAATTTGGTTGTTGGTGACACACACACGCAGAACCTTGTGAAAGGCACTCTGTAAACGGCCAACCGTACCAAACTCTTTGCACAACTCTATTCGCCGACCGGAATCAACGCCTAGAAATTATGCCCCCGAATGCTCTACACGAACGCCAGGTGATCAGTGTGGGCCCAGTAAGCAAGCGGGCTGCCTCAGCGCAGAACCTCCAGCAGAAGCTAACTCCAGCAGAAGGGTCTCCCCGTAGAATGGTAGAAGATGATGTGTGTGTGTGTGCACGCCACAGCAGTCGACGACAGCAGCAGCAGGAGTCGCAGCCGCCGCAGGCCTCCACTCACTCACAGTCGAAGCTTGAGAACCTGTTGTGGACGTTGAAGCCCTTACGAGGCTTGCTCTCTTCCTTCCTCATGATCTCTCTCTTGACGATGACAATGGTGATGAGACGGCGAGTTTCTCTCTCTCTTCCTCCTCCTGCTCTCTTGACGATGACGATGAGTGCGATGATGGTGGCGAGTCTCTCTCTCTCGTCCTCCTCCTCCTCGTCCTTCTGCTTCACGATGAGAATGATGATGATGGCGGCGAGTCTCTCTGTCTCTTCCTCCGCCTTCCTTCTTCATGATGATGATGACGAGTCTGTCTCTCTCTCTTCCTCCCCCCTTCTCTCTCTTTTGATTATGACGATGATGATGATGATGATGACCACGATTCTGTCTATTCCTCTCCCTTATCTCTCTCTCTCTCTTCCTCCTCCTTCTGTCTTAACGATGATGACAACGAGTCTCTCTCTCTCTCTTCCTCCCTCTTCTCTCTTGACGATGATGGTGATGATGATGATGATGATGATGCTGATGACGCCATCAGGTGCTAGTCGTGGACGGTGGGGGCTCCTTACGAAGAGCGCTCATGGGGGACCAGCTTGCCGCCGGGGGGCTTCAGAACGGCTGGCGGGTGAGAGAGATACACACACACGATGTACTAAAGCAAGTGGCCGACCGGGGGGGGGGGGCGCACTCTCATGTTTGTCATGCCTTGGTTGATCGACCATTGACCACGCTTCCTCGAAAGGACGAACCATGCAACTAGCCCTAACACATGGCCGATCACTGATGGCCAATCGTTGTGCGTGTCTTTGTTGTTGGCATCGACTGCGCTACCCGGCTGACCAAGGAAAAGACGCCAGCAGGTAGTGTGTCTGTGAGTGTGTATTTCATGCTTGGTTGGTTGTATCTCGCTCTCTCTCATGTGCAGTAGGCCTACATGTTTGTCACCAAAGATTTGTTGGTGTTGGTGTTGTTGTCATTGTTGTTGAGGATCTCGTATGCGCCGCCGTGATTTCGGTTGCCTCGTTCCGATTTCGATATTTTCCGATCTCGCCCTCTCTGTTTCCCCCTTTTTTACTATCATTTTTTTTCTGCCATTTTTTTCTTGTTTTGGTCGCCGTTAACCCGGCGGCGGCGGCGCCAGGGCGTGATCATCAACGGCGCCGTTCGCGACTCTCTCCGAGATCGGCAAGCTACCCTTCGGTTGCAAGGCCCTGGGCCAAATGCCGGAGGAAGAGCGAGAAGAAGGTCCCGGGTTACGTACGTTTTTCAGGGGGAGTACAGATTGCCCCCCCCCCCCTTTCCCCCTTTTCAGGAGACCTGCCGCTGGGGGGGTTTTAGAAGCCTGAGGGCTCCATTGCTACAGCAGTACGTACGTGTCTCACAGGCAGTACAGACCGCGTCCCCCCCCCCCCCCGTTTTCAAGATTCTGCCGCTAGAGGTTTACAACTTGTGGCTGGTGTCTCGCTCTCCTAGGATTAGAAAACAAGCAAAATTTCCGTTCAGAAATGAGGCTCAAGACGTTTCGCGAAATTCTGACGACTGTATATATCCAAGAAAACAAGGCTAAGAACCAAGGCTGAGGGGCAGATCCTACACTGTGGTACTCTATGCAACAAACCGTCCCATGTTAGCCGGTGGCGAAGAATGATCAAATTTGACGGTTCTTTATCTCCGGACCCGTTTTCTCTCTCCCCGCCCCCCCCCCGGGTTGATTGTGTGTGTGTGTCTTTATTATTTGCATCGACCGCGCTAACCGGCTGACCAATGAAAAGACGTGTGTGTGGGTCTTTCTTGTTGGCATCGGCCGCGCTAACTAATAACTAATCGGCTGACCAATCAAAATGCGTCAGTCTCAGAAGTGCGGTGGAAAACTAAAAACACTTCTAAATGCCATTAACTGCTGCTGTGTCTGGTGGTTGGTGTGTCAGGGGAACAAGGAGTTCCGGTGGAGTTCGGCGGGCTGCGGTTCAAGGCGGGGCAGTTCGTCTACGCCGACGAGGACGGGATAATCGTGTCCGACGAACCTCTGCGAGTGCCCAGAGATAGATCGGGATTATGATGACGTACGCGTACGTATGTACGTATACAATTACGTACGAATTCGAAGTAGTGTCCGACGAAGTGCTGGAAGTGCCCAGAGATTAGATCGGCATTGTGGCGTACGCATACACGTACGAACGTAGAATGCACGGCGTACGGCAAGCGCAAAACTTGGTGCCTCATGTCTCATTCGGAACGGCCCGCCAAGTTTTTACCGAGGTAACTAGGGCGGGTGGATAATGTCACACATGCCGCATGTTGCATGAGATATTACACACCGCCTGGACCGATTTTCAAAGCTTGATCCCTCGGCAGGGAAAGCAGGGACGGTGCCGAAAATTTCGGAGTTGGAACCGTCCCGTCGAGAGAAAGCTTTCCGAACACGTACCGTTTGCCTCCGGCATCCTCCTCGGTCGTGTAGTAGCCGAGCTTTGACAATCGCTCCAGGGGGTGTGATATCTTACGTCATGCAATCCTACGGTACACGCACGCACGCCAACAAAAAAGAGAGTCGGTTTTGGCTGAATGCTTGTGCGCGAAAGCCGACGACACCCTCGGCGCGGGTCGAACTTTTTTAGTTAAGAACCGTTACAAATGGCTGGAACACGAAATATTTTAGCGCATGGTGCCACGTGCATGCACACCAACAAAGGGCAGGAGTGGGTTGGTTTGGCTCATGTTTGTGCGTTGGAAATTTTTCGCCGAAAGAAAAAAATTAAAGTTGTTGGAAGCGAGACCCGGTTGGCTTGTTGGAAAGAAGTCGAGAATCGATGCTTCTTTGGAGCTTGGAGACAGAACATGAACGAACGTACGTACATGCCCGGGGGCGGAAACAAACGGGTTGAACCGACTTTATGTTCGCAGAGAGTGCAGCTTGTATCGATCGAGCTTTGTCATGTGTGCGGTGTACCAGTGCATTGGAAAATCCACAAACCAACCCAATGTATTTCGGTTCTACAGGGCGGGGGGACGTCATCGGGAAAAAGGACGACTGAGGTCCGGAGGGGAAGGGTTGGCGGCTGCAGCATGGGTGAAGTCGGCAAACCGGTTCATGTTGTCGTCCATCACCCCAAATCCAAGGGACGTTAGGGCCCTAAAAAAAAACACACACACCACCCGTTCGTTGTTCTCACAAAACGCAACAAGGGCAGAAAGCAGGTCAAACGCCGTAGGGACCCACATGCTCTTGAACACAAGCGCCAATATTGAGACAGAACAAGAATAATTGATCGATCAAACCAACTTAAAACACGCCAATCCAGCGAAACCGAACTGCTGCTGTATCATACTTCGTCACACACCGACCCAGCGACACACTACACGTTGTTCGCTGCGTGCCCACAAGGGTAGTGCACCATCATCGCCGCCGCGCCAGCCCTCCACATTTTTTTACCGGAACAACACGGTACGCCACCTATTGAGGACAGGAAAATCCACGTTCTTAACGGTAACAATACGGTGTTTTACCGTAACGAACACGGTACAGTACCTATTGTACGGAAAAAAAAGAAACGAACACGGGCGTCACGGCGGAATCAATCGGCAGCCGGATAGGAACAAAACGTCGCCAGGCCCACAACGCATCACTAAGAGACGTAAGAAAAATACACAACCTAATACAACACCAGAACCGGATGCACCACCTTGATCAATCGATCAACAGACGACTATCACCGGCGGGGCCGCCAGGCAGCCAGTGGCACCTTGGCACCACAACGACATCCAAAAAAATCGCCCGCGACGAGCGGTCCAAACCTCCTACCAACAGATCTCGCTCCGTCAGCCAATCAGAGCTCAGCGTGCTGGTCAACCAACCAACCAATCGATCGAATCGAATCGATCCATCAGCCAATCAAAGCTCGCCGTGCTCGTCCTCCGCTATACTGAACCAACCGATCAAACCCATCAGCCAATCAGATCAGAGGCCGTTCGTGCTCAACCCCACACCGATTCTCGCCAAATAAAAATCAGAACAAAATCGATCGACGAAACAACAGCCGCGAATATAATCAGAGCTCGTCGTGCTCGTCCTCCTCGGCTTCGCTCAGCCAGTCGTCGACCGCATCGCCCTCCTCCTCGCTCTCCTCGTCGTCTCCCGCGGCCGCCTTCTTTGCGGCTCTCTCCGCCTGTCAGCGGACGGACGGACGGAGAAAAAGCACCCAAGGGGGGGTGGGGGTGGGGGTACTCATAATCGTGCATGCCGTAGTCGTTAGACCATTGACCTCGCATCCCTACAATGCCGGGACGGAGCACGCCGGGTTCTCACCGGACCAAGGGGGGGGGGGGGGGGGGGGGGGGGAC